AAACATAGAGTTTGACTAAAAAGATAGGAAAAGATTGCCACATAATAATTATAAAGGGTTGTCATAATGAGTTACTATTAGGGAAGTAATAGTAGATAGAGCACAAGAGTATTACTAAAGGTAAATTTCATAGATAAAAGCAAATTCATAGGAGAGCCAGAAGAAACACTCATATATATATATATCAGAACTTGGAAACCTAATAGAATTAAATGGGATAATAAACAAATACGTAAAAGAGAAGATATCCAGACCAAGTTGGATTTATCCAAAGAATGCAACAATTTGTTAACATTAGAAAACTGACTACTGTAATTTACTATATTAACAAAACAAATTTACAAAAAATACCATTTGATAGAATTCAGTACCATGCCAATCTACCTTAAAATTCTTTGACACTCTGATTTCTGTCTCAGTGAAACTGAGGTTGAACTTCTGCCTATAGGTCAATGGGGTTTTACTTATTTGCTTGTTTATTTGACACAGGGTCTCACTATGTAGGCCTGTGTTGAACTCACAGAGCTCTTCCCGTCTCTGCCTTCTGAATGCTAAAGGCATGGGCCACCACACCAGGCTGTTTGTTTTTTAATTTAAAAGTTGGTGGCAATTAATTATAGATGCCACAATAAAATAGGGATAGTCCATGACTCGTGGTGGTTCAACTTAGAATTTTTTGACTTTAAGATGGCACAGAACAGTTTTCATTCACTAGACACTGAACTTAGAATTTGGAACTTTTAGGGGCTAGGAATCACTCTCTTGAGATGCTACGTAACAGCATAGAGCTGTGACTTATAGTAACAGTCACAGGGGAAACAACCAACAGCACAATGCACTGTGTTGTTGAGCTGTGGTGTGCAGTATGCATCCGACTGGTCCAGGCTGGAATGTTCAGTATGCTTCTTACTGGTGGTTAGGGTCTAGGCCCTGTCTTTTCAGGTTCTTGACCTCTTATTCAAGAATGAAATAAAAACCCACACAGATTACAAAGTAGCAGGACACTTGATTTTAAGCAAAGTGATAGAACAGGTCAGAATATACTACAAGAGAGCCATGGGCCGCAAGACTGAAGATACCCAACTACCCTGGTAACTGTTCAGGGCTTGCTTTTATGAGATTTTTTTTCTTTCTTTTTTTGTCTTTTTGAGACGGGGTCTCCCTATAGCCCCAGCTGTCCTGGCGCTCACTATGTAGACCAGGCTGGCCTCGAACTCACAAAGATGCACCTGCCTCTGCCTCCCAAGTGCTGGGATTAAAGGCATGTGCCACCATACCTGGCACCTTTTATGAGCTTTGAGAAGCAGGAGTTTCATTATCAATGGTGTGGTGAAGGTGGTTCTTTGTTTTGATTAATAGATTATATCATACAATCATTTTTCTACTGGACATCTTCCTTCCCATAATGCATCCGACTTTAATCTTATGCACACTCAATTATGCATAGGCATAAGATGGTAAATAGGGGATTCTCCTGAAAAGTTCAGTTGAGGACAATGTTTTGCCTTGTTGACTATATACTCAAAACCAGTTCAGGCTGGAACAGTCCCCAGTGTAAGCTGAGTAGATGGCATAGAATCTAAATCTGATGTTTGTGAAGGAAAGGAGAAACATCCCACTATGAAGAGTGGTTTGTATGCAGCTCAATGCAGGTGGGGCTTCCAAGGTGCCAGTAAGTTACTTAGGTGCATTTTTCAGAGAGGGATGTGTACAAAGTCCAAGCCAAATGGCATCTCAGGTTGCTAAGCTATGTGGACTTTCATTTCATTCTTGAATAAAAGCCAGGAACCTGGAAACACTAGGTTCAGACCCTGCGCATCAGTGACAGATGAACACAAAACACAAACACATTTACTTTTTTTTTGGTCTTTTTGAGACAGTCTCCCTGTAGCCCTAGCTGACCTGGAACTCACTATGTAGAACAGGCTGGCCTCAATCTCATGGAGATCCACCTGCCTCTGCCCTCCCGAGTACTGGAATTAAAGACATGCACCACCACACCTGACCACACTTAATTTTTTAAATTATATCTATTTATTTTGTATAGGGACCATGTGTGCCGTGGTGCTCATGCAGAGGTCAGTGGACAACTTGCTGGAGTTCATTCTCTTCTGCCACCATAGGAATGACATTTATAAAAGGGACATAATCTGCACTAATGACTTTTAATTAACTTTGGCAAACTCAGTGACTGAGTGACCTGGGCATCTGCTGTTGTTTCCTAGGCAACCTCAATTTGATATTCTGCCCCAAAAGAGAATGAATGAATGTGGGTATGTTTGAGAATTAACATATCAAAGCGCCCAAAAGGCAGGTGGGTGCTGGCATCTTCCTTGGACACAGTGGAGATTGGGAAGAGTGTGACTTTGGATGAAAGACAGCAGGTTCTGGAAGCAGACAGCAGATGCTGGGGCAGGAGGAGGCATGCAGAGAAGCATGGCTCGACTTCAGAGACTAAGAGGGACATATAGATTTGGATGGCTCTACGAGGCCCTCTGATGAGATGCTGTAGGGATTAAACATACAGAGCACATGGCTGTGCTTGAAGGATCACAGGCTGTATATTTTGTGACTAGTTGCTTATTTGGCTTCTGTAACTGTTTGCTTATACAAGGCCTTAGGGACAAACATGTGATTGCTTGTACCTACCTCGTTAGGATGTGGATGTTTTGCCTTTAAAAAGCTTCACTTTCCTCTGAGGGCTGCTGTATTCTCTAAATTGGCTCAGAGAGTGCAGTCCCTAGCAAGCTAAATAAATTCAGCTGATTCAGAACTTTTCGAGTCTGAGTGGTCTTTTCCCAATGATCTTGCAAGGCCTTAGGGACAAACATGTGATTGCTTGTACCTACCTCGTTAGGATGTGGATGTTTTGCCTTTAAAAAGCTTCACTTTCCTCTGAGGGCTGCTGTATTCTCTAAATTGGCTCAGAGAGTGCAGTCCCTAGCAAGCTAAATAAATTCAGCTGATTCAGAACTTTTCGAGTCTGAGTGGTCTTTTCCCAATGATCTTGAACTCTGTAACAGGAGTTCCAGCAAGACAGTTCAATCACAGTTCTAGGAGACAGACAGTCCCAAGAGATAGCCTGGGGGATGAGTGTCCTCCAAGCTCAGGCCCACTCTTAAAAACTACATTTAAGAGTCAGGCTTTTTGTTCAAGTAATTGTAATGTTGGTGTAGTAACACTGCATGCTACCATGTGGGTCCCAGGGATGGAATTCAGGCTGTCAGGCTTGGCAGCAAGCACTTTTACCCTCTCTCTGAGCCATCTCGATGGTCCAAGAATACACTCAAAACACATATACACACACACCACACACACACACACACACACACAAACACAAAGATTTAAATTATGGAAGAACAGCTGCTGATAGGAGAAGGAAATGGGGTTAGAGAGAGAGGGAAATAGGTGTCAACAGAAGTGAAAAAAGTAGTCTAAAGGATTCTCAAGGTAAAGTTGAGAAATGGTCCTAAAAATAATGAGAGAGAGAGAGAGAGAGAGAAAAGGAAAATAGAGGATCAGTTTGAATGATCTATCATCTGCAACACATGAGTCCAGAAGTCCAGAAAATGAGCTTAGAAAAGAAGAAAAATCATTAAAGAAATAACTGAAGAAAAATCTGTTGGTTGAGGTTAGATTACAAAGCACATAATCAAATGAGACAGGTAGAGCTGGAGAGATGGCTCAGAGGTTAAGGAACTCTTGCTCTTCTTCCAGGGGAACCAAGTTCTATTCCCAGCACCCGTGTCTGACGGCTCACAACCATCTGTAATTCTCACAACCACCTGTAACTCCAGCTTCAGGGGTCTGATACCTTCTGGCCTTCGTGGACACCTGCACCCATGGCACACATACATAGACATATACATTAATAAAAATAAAGTTGAGATTGGTGAAGCTGAAGGGGTTAGATCTTAAAGATTCCATGAGTGCTCTGAAGCACCTTTGCTCTCCTGGGGCTGGATGGTTCAGTGATTAAGAGCACTGGCTGCTCCTACAGAGGATCTGGGTTCAAATTCCAGCACCTACATGGCACCTAACAACCTTCAGAAACTCCAGTTCCAGAGGACACCCCTTTCTGACCTTCTCAGGCATTGCATGACTCAGGTGCACTTACATTCATACACATAAAATTAAAATGTTTTTTTAAAAAGAATCTGGTCTTAGCCAAGCCTTGTGTTTGGAGTGGTTCCAAAGGCTCCACCTACTTCTGCCCCACCTATTAATTGCTACATAACGTTTAGATCCAAAGAACCCCCCCACTCACTGTCATTCAGACCTCATTTTGCCAAAGTGCTGTCCTTTGACTATGGTTCTATTATAGAGCAAGACATTATAATAGGATATTAATTAGCACCCCTCGTGCTGCAGGAGGGCAGCAGCTGCAGGGGTCCATTCATACTTAAATTTACAATGAGGGGTTTGGGTGAGACCACCCACCCAATCGGCTACTATTTTGCCTTGGCTCCACATGGAGACTTTAGCCATTCCCATACTCAAGACCTTATCAAATAGTAAACACGGTGAAGATAAGCGAAATCTAGTTTTTCTGCATAGTCTATGAGCTAATGCGAGCATTGCAATCCCAGCTGCGGAGGTGGAAAAACTGACCTTGTCATCCACAGTCACAGGACTAAGTACCCAGACCGTCTGCTCCAGAGGTCGTTCGGTAGCCACTTCCCCAAGCATCTTCAGCATTCTTTATCAGTCTTGCAAATATTTTCCCCGGGTGGTGGGCATAGTTTAATGTACTTCCGGTTCTTTAGTGTCTGGCTTTCAGAGATCACACACGTTTCCACCCTGAAAAATAACTCTTAAAGGTTAGGCATGAGCCTAGTTTTCTGGTCTGCTTGTGTCTGTAAGGTGCACTGGATCCAAGAAACTGGCTATTTTCTCCCGTTTGGTAGGACCGCACCGATTTCGGCAGCTGAGTGGCAGGGGGCGGGGACCCCAGCTCCGCCCCAGTCGGCCCTCCTCCCGCGGGTCCTCGGCACCCACCTTCTTGGAAGGTTTCGGGAGCCTGCGCCGATCGCCGCCCTCCCGGCCGGGAATGCGAGATCCGGGCCCCGCCGAGCGTCGGCCACCGCGTCAGGTCCCCGGCGGTTGAACCCCGGGGCACCGGCGGGACCCCAGCAGAGCAGCGACTCATGGAAGCGGCGGGCTCCCCGGCTGCTGCGGGGACCGGAGGTGACCGTGTTCAGCGTGGCCACGCGCCGCCGCTGGATTCGGCCTGTCTCTCTAACGAGGGTCCTTGTAGGCTTGGCTTTGTTTATGTCTGAGACATTCATTCAAGGAGGCAGGGCCTGACCCTGAACTTGGCGTTGAAGCCAGATTTCTTTTCTCTGGAGGGGTGAATTTAGGGTCTGCATTTGGCACTGCTTCTAATGACTTTCAACCTATAGCTCTGCTTTCTAAGTCGTATGTGTTTAATTTAGGAACCCTCAATTAAGCACGTAGGCTTGGCTTTGTTTATGTCTGAGACATTCATTCAAGGAGGCAGGACCTGACCCTGAACTTGGCGTTGAAGCCAGATTTCTTTTCTCTGGAGGGGTGAATTTAGGGTCTGCATTTGACACTGCTTCTAATGACTTTCAACCTATAGCTCTGCTTTCTAAGTCGTATGTGTTTAATTTAGGAACCCTCAATTAAGCACACCACCAGGCCTAAGACATTGTCTCTGGCTTTGGTGAATACACCTTGAGTTCCCCTTTCAACTTTGCTCATTTCTCTTCTTCATCAACTCCAATTTTTTTCATTTAAAGATTCTTGGGACTTCCTCGTATTGCACAGATTTCCCCTGGCCTTCAGTGGCTACCTTGGAAAAAACCGAGTATGCTGGATAGCTTTAGTGTCAACATGACAACACATTTGGGTAGAGGGACTCTCAACTGGAGAATTGCCTCCATTGACTGGCCTGTGGCCATGTCCATGGGGCATCTTCTTGATTATTAAGTGATGTGGGAGGACCCAGCCCACTGTGGGTGGTGCCACCCCTGGGCAGGTGGGACTGTGTTCCATAAGAAAGCAGGCTGACCAGGGGCCAGGGAAGCAAGCCAATAAGCAGCATTCTTCCATGGCCTGTGCTCCAGCTCCTGCCTCCAGGTTCTTGCCCTGAGTTCCTACCTTGAGCTTCCTGATGAACTGTGACCTGGAAGATGTAAGACAAATAAACCCTTTCCTCCCCAAGTTGGTAGTGGTCAGAGTGTTTTGTCACAGCAGTGGAGAAAAAAACTAGAACACAGAGTAAATCAAATATATTTTTTTCTAGTTTCTTGCCTCTCAGAACCATTTAATTTAAAGATGGCTGAGGGATTTGCTTGGATGTTTGAAACCTAGTGATTGATGATTGGTTCTTTAAGTTAAATGGCAGTTTGAACTTGGAAATAAGTGTTAAATAAATTGATTCGAAAGACTAATAATTAGTGTTACATGCTTGTGAGACTTGTCTTTCAAGAACTTTTGTTCACCTATTGAGTGACTGAGCTTGTGCTCTTCCTCCTACACTTCCCTTGATTTCAGTATTGTCCTAGAACCTGAAAAAGAGCCAACATCACGTTTATTAGTGAGTCTATGTACCATATGAAGCCAGCAACTGAAAAAGGGAGATTGTTTTTTTTCTTCAAAGCATGATACCCTTTGCAGATCACCCTGGTGCCCTGGTGCTCATCCTTGGAGGGATTTCTTAAAGACCAAGGAAGTAGGTCCATCTCATGATGAAGGCAAGATAGATCAAATGGCCTAATTTCTTTTATTATTATTAATTTATTTTGGTCTTATTTATTTTATTTTTTAATGCAGGGTCTCCCCTGTAGCCCCAGCTGGCCTGGAACTCACTATGTACACCAGACTGGCCTTGAATTCACAGAGATCCTCCAGCCTCTGCCTCCCAAGCGCTGGGATTAAAGGTGTGTGTCACCACACCCGGCAGATGGCTTAATATCTAAAAGAGGAATGAAAGCAGTGTTTCAATGTTATAGCCAAATTCCAGCATTGTGTTCCCTTTGATCATAACTGCTATCTTTAGAATGGCCCTTAGCTCAATAAGTGTCTTCTGAGTCTACTTCCTTTGTAGTAATTTTGCAGTAAGATGTCACTTATTTGCTCTGATAGCACTGTGTTTGCATTCTAGACGATGGCCCTGGAGGAGGTGCAGACCTTTGTAGTAATTTTGCAGTAAGATGTCACTTATTTGTTTTACCCAGAGTCCCAGTTACATCTCTCTGATAGCACTGTGTTTGCATTCTAGACGATGGCCCTGGAGGAGGTGCAGGAGAGACCTCTGGGCGGCTTTCAAGAGAACAGCTTTTTGTACTGGTATCAGCTGCTTCCATGAACTTGGGTTGCATGATGGCCTATTCTATCCTTGGACCATTTTTCCCACATGAGGTAAAACATTTTTATATCCTTATTAACTCCAATTGAAGTCAGTGGCATAAATATGATTTGAAAGGAACTATTTGGGCAAGTGGAAACAATATGGCATATGCTTTATTTTGTGCTTCTTGCCAAAGTTCTGGACTCAGTGCACTGACAACTTCTCAGTTCCCAAACTGACTTGACAACATGAGAGTTTCAAGTGTGCTACAAGAGAGACTTTTTTGCTAAAGGAACAATAGCTCTGTACCTATACATCACTCACTGTTTTTCAATGCACTTTGCTACCTGTTTATTCACTTACTGCCTAACACAATCCCATAATGTTGCTTTGAAGTAGCAATCTCTGAGTTAAGGAACCCTACCAGTTCTGTTCTACTTCATTAGAGAGTTAGCAAGTTCCTACTCTAAGTCTACTAAGCTTTATATGTTTTGCGGCAAGAAAGGTTACCTTTATCTTGCCTGTTCATTAAGAATGAAAAACATGAGGGAGGGGAACGAAGGACTGATTCAGACTTTGAATATCCTTTAAGAAAAAGATGGCCAGAAGTCTTAAAATTCAAGAGAGAGAACTGGCTAACTGTTCTGGGGCAGAGAAGCAGCCAGGGAGGAAGGTGTGTTGTTCACTGGGACTTAAGGTTAAATCTAAGTAAGGTGTGGCACCAGAAATGGTAGTTTCTATGGTAAACAGTAGAACAAGGGTGTCATTCCAGATGTGGTCAGGGGAAGAGCAGAGTGAATGGCATAGTCTAAGGGAACAACAGACAGCTCACTGTGGCTTAAGCCTGGGGTGGAGTGAGACCTGAAAGGAGTTTGAGGATCTGAGGAGCTAGCTGCAGGCTGAGATTCAAAACACTGAAATGTATGCCAAGGACTTGCTCTTTGGGAGAGTATCAGAGGGATTGGTCAGCTTTGGATTTTTGTGGGAAAAAGTACTGATGGGAGCCCCTGAGGGTATAGAAGAGAAAACCAACTCAAACTCAGTTTTTCCTGCTGTATACTCACAGCACAGATCACTTCTGTGACCTCAAAAGGCATGGGGATTTCTGTTCTCTCTGTAAGCAAGCAAGCAACTCTGTAGCTGCAGACAACAGTGTTCTCTCTAATCCGGGTCATTTCTGACTCTGTCTACCTAGAGACAGCTCAGTCCCCAAACTGCCTGTTGTAAACCCCACGTTGCTTAACCTGGGGTTTGTGAACCGATGGGCTATAAGTTGGGTTCACACACACTCCTCCTTGGAGTCAATTAATTGGCTTAAGTGGTCACAGAACTCAGAAAAACATATACTTGTATGGATTTATCATAAAGATACATTGGTTGTCCATCAGAAACATCCACATGTTCAACTATCTAGAAGCTCTGGGAACCTTGTGCTTTGGGGTTTTTGTGAGAACTTGATTGTGTGGTATGATTGCTTACAGATGGGGCGTAGAAACCCAGGCCTGGCTGTCCTCTCTGTAATGTTCCTTGACATAGGGTGTAAGGCAGGGACCCTCTGGAATGAGGAGAGGCTTATGACCGACTATCAGATAAACTAGATGAGAATTGTATATATGGGCTGAGCAGATGGCTCCAGTGAGTAAACCACTTTAATTGTAGTTAGAGGGACTGAGGAGATGGCTCAGTCTGTAAGAGTACTTTCTCTGCAAGGATAAGTACCTGAGTTTGATTCCCTAGCCCCCTTGTGAAAAGGCAGGCGTGGCTGCCCATGCCTGTAACCTCAGCATTAGAGGGTGTAGGCAGGTGGCTCTTGAGAGTACACTGGCCAGCCACTCTAGTCCAAATGATGAGCTGGTTCAGTGAGAGACCCTGTTTGAAGGCAACAGGGAGCACAGCAGTAAGGGAAGATGCTGATGTCCTGCTCTGGCTTCCTTGTTTATGCTCTCATGGGCATTCACCTGCACCCTCAATGCATGTACACATACATACACACACGCATACAAATTGTAGTTAGAGGAAAAGAGAAGAAAGGCAATTACGACTGTTGTAGAGAATGCATTCTGAAGGGTGTAGGGGAGTGTGTATATAAAGTGATATGACACTCTAGTGAAAGGATGAATCTGAATCACTCCTCTGACCATAAATACTCCATAAATATTCATTGATAACACAGTGCTTGACATACAGAAGCGACTGCTGACTCTAAGGAGACAGCCTTGTGAAGTTCAGGCTTCCAACTTCATAGTGTGCTAAGTGTGCCAGTTTTATCTGTAGATATTAAATTAATATTTTAAACACTAAACTGATATAGCTGTAGCCCAAGGTAAAGATCTGAGGCAGAATGGAAAGATGGGGAAAACTAAGGGGGTATTGGAAGGGAAGGTGCCTGGAGTCTGATTGAAGTCCCTCAACAACAGAAAATCAAGAATTCCAGCATAATTAACAAAATTTGCTGTGGAAATTATCTATATGGAGACCATAATCCTTCATATAGAGATATTTCCAATACGAATACCATAATCCTTCATATAGAGGTATTTCCAATAAGAATATTAAGATAACAGCAAACCATGCTTACGGCTTGAGTATGTGGCCTTACTTCTCAGCTGTAAATCTGTAATTTTCTGGGAATCTTACAAACAAGACTATTCATTGTGTTTAGAACAAAAACTTAACTTCATTGTGCAACTCTTGTATGATGCTATTTAATGCACCCCAGGGACCACCTTATGATCTCATTTACAGACAAGAGAGAAAAAAGATTCCTCAAGCAACCCTTTGAGATATAAATTTTGAGGCCATCAAAATTATATTTATGGCTATTGTAAAGACACTTAAATATGACTCGAGATGCCCATACCCGCATTTGAGTGTCTACTGTCTTTTCCCTCAGTGCTTCTCTCTGTGTCCCCAAGCCCCACCTCTCTTTTTCTCTCTCTCCAATGCCCATGCGTAAATCTGTTAAATTATATTAAACTTCATCTTTACTTCATGTTGATTTGCCCTCAAATCTTTTTCTGCAGTGAAGCCAAGAATACTGGCTTCAGGCTAGGGATGTGACTCAGTTGGTAGAGTGTTTCTCTAGCATGCTCAAAGCCCTGCCTTTGATGTCTAGCCCAACATAAAATAGATATGGTGGTACATACCTTTAAGCTCAGCACTCAGGAGATGGAGGCAGGAGGATTTAAGGGTTCAGAGCCAGGCTCAGCAACATAGTGAGTCTAAAGTTACAGAGTGAGTTTGAAGCTAGCCTGGACTATGTTACATAAGACCCTGTCACAAAAAGCCCAAAAGAAAAAAGAATCCAGCTTCACCTGAATAGAGGTCTCTGAAAAGAATGCCTCAGGCTGGTAGGGTAGCAGCACAGAGCTGTGTCTTTGACACCCAATGCACTACAGCTCACAGATCCACCATGCTGACATGGTTTGAAAAAGGTCTTTAAAAGCTGAGGATGTAGCTCACTGATAGAACACTTGCTCAGCATGTGCAGGTTTTGATTCCCAACACCACCACCACAAATTTTAAAAAAGAGCAGGCAAAGAAATGTTAGCTATAAGCTAGGCACAGAGATACCTGTAATCCCAGCACCCAACAGGATTCCTGCAAGTTTAAGACCAACCTGGTCTACATGTCAAGTTCCAGGCCAGCCACAGCTGCCAAGGGAGACCATGTCTTCCCAACACACAAACAAACAAAAACGAAGACAAAAAGTTCTTTAAATCCTGTCTCTATTTTTGTATGTGAATTCACTGAACATCACCATAATAATATTCAGAATTCAAATGAAGTAGATTCAGGCAGCTGGGAAGATGGCTGAATGAGTACTTAATTCACACACATGAAGGCCTGAGTTCAAATACCCAGCACCCATGTAAGAAACTGGGCATGGCTATGTGTATCTGTAACCCCACCATTGTGAGGGAGAACACAGGTGGATCCCAACATGCTCCTTTGGCCTCCACATGAATGCACAGAGGGGTATATACATGTACACTTACATATATGCACCACACACACATACATACACACACACACATACACACACACACACACACACACACACACACACACACACAAAGTATATTCTATGCTGAATCTACACCATCTGTAGGCAATTTCAGAGGTCCCCGGAGGAACAGGTTATAAACAATAATTGTAATGTATGAATAGTAAGCTACCCTAGGTGCTGAGAGTATGTGCACTGTGGGGAGCATCCTTTATCCGCACTGCTCACAGGAAGGAGAACTTTCCCATACTGTCAGGGAATTGCTGAGCAAGGCAGAGGCTGGAGCAAGACTGGTTATGCCTTCACATGACCCACTTGCCAGTTACAGAATTTCCTCTCCTTGAGTTATTTTTAATGGACTATCACATGCTTTTTGTTTTTGTTGAAGTCCAATTCTATAAGTAAAAGGAAGTCTGTCTAAATCAACTGTTTCCTCAGCCCAATGACTGAGAAGTAGAATCTAAATTTCCTCATTTGAAGTATTTTGTGTTTATATTCTGTAACGCTGACTTTTATTTAGATAAAGGGAATGTAGGCTTGATAAGTGAATTGTTTTCACATCAGAGACATGACTTTACTATCTAGTTTCCTTCTTTCCCCACCCTGCTTATTTTAAACTAATTACTTATTTATTTTTTTTTATATGTGAGTGTTTTGCCTGCATGTATGTAAAGTACACCCACATCCCATGTCATACAGTGTCCACAGAAGCCAGAGGGGGCATTGGATCACCTAATACTGGAGTTAAGGATGGTTGCTAGCCATTGTGTGGGTGCTGGGAACTGACCTGGGTTCTGTAACAGCAGCTAGTACTCTTGAATGCTGAGCCATCTTTCCAGGCCCTAAAATTAAAAAAAAAAAAAAAAAATCAAGGGTAGACAGGTTTAACAGGGATTGGGGAGAGTGGGGGACATGAGTGGCAGGGACGTGGCGGGGGCGCAGTGGCTAGGATTTACATAAACTAAGGATGTATGAAAATGTTGTAAGGGAATATGATACTTTGTAATGTAATTAAAAAAAAATTTAATATCCATTATTATATAGACATTGTAATGCCAAAAAAATCTTTTAGATTACCACATGTTTAAAAGACATAAAAAGGTGATGGCCTAACCATCTTCCCATCTTCTCATGATAGTGCTGTTTTGTCTTATAAATTTTGTTGCCTTGTGTATTTCTTCAAAGGCAGAAAAGAAAGGGGCCAGCAACACAATGATTGGGATGATCTTTGGATGTTACGCTTTATTTGAGTTGCTTGCATCTTTAGTGTTTGGAAAATATGTAAGTATTAGCAATTTTGATCCTTTAAAACTGAGTAGTGAGCCAGGTATGGTGGTTACTTTTCTGTTGCTGAAATAAAACACCATCACCAAGGGAATTTAGAGAACAAAGAGTTTATTTGAGCTTACGGTTCCAGGGGGGGATTAGAATCCATTATGGTGGTAGGCATGGTAGCAGGATGTGGCTAGAGTAGAGAGTGGAACACTCACATCTTCAAGCAGGCACAGGAAACAGAACAAAGAGCAACTGGGGATCAGGCGATGCTCAAGAACCCTCCAAGCTCGCCCCTAGTGACCTGCCTCTTCTGCATAGTCTCACCTCCTAGCCTCCCAAAACAAGGCTACCAGCTGGGGACAAAATATCTAAATACTTGGAGCCTAAAGAGGACATTTTCATGGAAATCTCCACAGTAGCACATGCTTTTGATCCCAGCACTTGGGAGGCAGAGGTGGGCAGATCTCTGTAGATGGAGGCCATCCTGGTCTACATAGCAAGTTCCAGGCCAACTGGGGCTACAGGGAGACCCTGTCTCATTAAAAAAAAAAAAAGTTGTGTAGTGAGTATAATTTGCTGATCTCAAATTTCTATGGATATGGAAATAACAACCTTATAGTTTTATAAACTAGGCCACAGCTCCATCGTTTATGTGTCTATCCTTCTAGTCAATTGGTTTTTAGCCCCTTCTGTGCTTGCAAGCACTGTATATTACCATTCTTTTAAATGTTTATTTTAATATGATGTTAACTGTATGTGTTTTCCTGAAATTTATATTTTCTGACATGATAGATTTGCTTATATAAATGCCAACTTACAGAATCCATCCATTGATCATTCTTCTTTGCCATTTATCATAGCTTGTATATATTGGAGCCAAATTTATGTTAATAGCAGGGATGTTTGTCTCCGGAGGAGTTATAATTCTCTTTGGGTAAGTCACCTTTTGATATGTTTGGGAGCTTGGACAGATTTCATAGTTTATCTTCAGATAAAAAATGGTAATGGTTTTATTTTATTTTTTTAATTTATTTTTATTTTATGTGTATGAGTGTATTGACAAAGGGCACCTTTGTCTTGCAATGCCCAGGGAGGTCAGAAGAACGCATCAAATTCCCCTGGAACTGGAGTTATGGATGGTTGTTAGCCACGATGTGAGTGCTGGGAATTGAACCCTGGTCCTCTGTAAGAGCAGTCAGTGCTCTTGAGCACTGAGCCATCTCTCTAGTCCTAAAAAATAATGGTTTTAAATTTAAAGTTATTCTATTTTACAATGTGTGTGTGTGTGTGTGTGTGTGTGTGTGTGTGTGTGTGTGTGTGTGTGTGTGTGTGTGTGGTGTGTGTGAGAAATCACAAGCG